TCACAACGACCCTCTGTACAACAGAACAAAACACCATCTAGTCCAGCGCCATCCTCACAGTTGTTCTTAGCTTGAGCCCACCGTTGCAGCTACTGTGTCAGCCCATCTCCTGGAGGGTCTTCCTCTTTTCCACTGCCCCTCTACTAAGCATCATGTCCTCCTCCTGACAACATGCCCAAAGTGCCACCCTCTAAAAATCACTCTGGCTCTGTATGGGCACGTGGATCTACCCATATACATATATGCATATATACATACATATGTAGCCAATACATTTTTTGTTGTTGTTACAAGATTATGTGCCTTCTTTCCTGAAAGTGTCCTCTTAGTGTGTCTTAGTTGCATCATTTACCTTGGCCATTTACCTCTCACCCACATTTGGTGCTATTTTTCCCAACACCCCAAATAGTCAATGTCTACTATCTAGAGAGTGAATGCCCCTTTCCCCACCCCTGCTAACTACCAATGAACACTGATCTCTGTGTATAGAGCACTTCTTACCTTTTAAAGAAAACTGTTTCATGGGCATATGCTTCACCCCTCACACCATTCCGTGGTTTCAATATATTAAAGAGGGGGCTGTATCTTGCTTTCTTCTAACAGCGGCATCAGACAGTCTCGCTCCTTTTCACGCAGCATGTCCTGTAGATTCACCCACATTACGCTCAGGGTGGAGAATGCTAGCATGAGACCATGCAGGAGGAAGGAGTTTCCCCTGCTGGTTCCTGTTTTTCCTCAGCGGGCTCCTGCAGCAGCTTCTCCAGCACCCAGCTCCTGCAATGCCTGAAGCTTTTCCTTTGCTGCCTCGGCACTGCAGATGTCGCCACTAGCACCAGGCACCAACAGTGTGGGCAGCTTTCCCAGCCCTGCTTACAGTTTTGTAGCACAGTGACTTCTGCAAGACATCTCCCCATGAACAGCTTTCTCTGACACCTGGAGGGCAGCTTTTCCGTAAGTTCCAGAAGGCGGATTTCCACCAATTTTGCCGGCATAACCATTGCAACGTCCCTGCCGCTTACTCAGGGTTCTCTCAGCCCTTAGCGCTAGTAGCTACTCTTGGAACTGACACTCCTGTAGGATTAGCTTTACTTCTTATGGAGAAAAGGTTGATGTCGGGATTTTACCTGAATTCAAAAAGCGCTTCCCATGGAAACGGCAATCAGATGAGGTAATGCATCGGAGAACTCTGCAGCACAAGACACAGCAAAGATGTCACTTTGAAGACTAAGGTGCACCTGACCTGTCACCTCATATGCAAACTCATATGCTGGAAGGAAGACTTCAGTCAGAATGGATGCCTTTGAAATTGACTGCCAGAACGACCCTGTGTGGGGTTCCGTAGAACAAACCAGAGCTGGGAAGTTCTTTAGAGGCGAGGATGGCAAGGCGGTCTCATGTACTGTGCACACGCTATCAGGAGAGAAAATGACCCCATGCCTGGTAGAGGATGAGGGAGACAGCGTAAGATTTGGGGGTTGACACAGTAGCTGCAACAATGAGCGCAAACTTCGGAAAGATTGTGAGGATGGCCCCGGACTGGCAATTTTCTGCTCTTTTATATACATAGGGTCACTATGAGTCAAAACATGCTCCACAAACCAACGCACTGTGCCGTGTAGTAAATGCGACGCATAGTGGCCCTACCCTGGAGGACAGGCTAGAACCCCCGTCGTGATTTTCTGAGCTGGTAACACTGTGCCGGAGCAGAAAGCCCCATCTTCTCCAGAGCAGTGGCTGGTGGTTTTGAACCACCACGCCATCAAGGCTTACTCAGTAGCAGGCCAAAATCCAGCATTCTATTTGTGTATTTTATTCACTACAGATTTCCTGTGGCTTACTTAATTCTTCGTGGGGTAGTCAGAAAGCCCCACCTCACAGCCACTAGCCAGTGCTGAGGACATAGTTAACATGACGTCACCCTTCAATGACTCGCTTTGCAAAGACGACTCGAGCAATTCTGAGACTCGGCAATATGCAATATTAGCAATTTACTGCCTGTGGTGGTTGGTCGCCATCAAGTGGACTCCAACTCAATGCCCTTCTGTGTGACAGACCCAAGAGTCTAATTTGACCCAGAGGCTGTTCTTGGCTGCCATCATCTTCGTTGTTGTTGTTTGACTTCTTTGTGTGTGCGATTTCCGTGAAAATTCACAGAACAATTAGTTTTCATCAATTCATACCCATTTTGCTTTGTAGCATTGATCATAGTCCCCACTGGGCAAGAACACTTTTCCCACTCCCTGTCTATCCTGCCCACTTCCTTCCTATCAGTAAGCTTTATCCCTGGGTACATGCTTCCCCTTTCCATCTCCTGTGGTTGATCGTTAGCTCTAATCCATGGGAGCAGATCCCCAGCTTTCTCCCACAGAACCAAGGGGTGGGTTCGACTCCCAACCTTTCTTTAGCAGCCAAGCACTTAATCTTTGCCCTCGGGCTTTTGAAATGACTGCTTGGATACTACGATGAAAGTCCTTGCTCTGTCCACTCCTTTTATGAGGTTGGGGATTACTGTTAAAGCAATCTGGTAGAAGACTGGGTGACCAAAACCATGTGTCTCTGAGTAACTGACAGTGTCTTTAACAGAAAGGTGATTTTATCAAGTGGGATGGAAAGCCAACAAGAACTGAGAGAAGAGCCCTGAAGAAGCCTTGGAGGGTCCATTCACTCTCAGATGGTATTTGGCAAAGTCTAGAGACCTTTCTGATTGCCATAAACAGGAGTGGAGGGGGCTGCTCCTGGCACCTAGTGGGCTAGCAGCCAGGGATGTTACACAGTGTAGTTCCCATGACAAAGTATTAATACCTCGTTGAAAAAGTCTTAGTCCAGAGATTGAATGAAAAGCCCAATGTAAGCAGGACGGGAACTCTCTTCTGCCTCTGTGCCCAGGCTTTCACTTCAGTAAGCTATCAGAGAGCGGTTCCATGGCCAGACCTGCTTTAAACATGGTCTTTGCCACAGGGTAGAAGCACGAGGGCTAACACGGTGGCACCTCTGCATTAAACCAAAGCTAAAAATGAGTTTATTTTGTATATCAGTTCATCTCTTGTAGTATTCTACATCTCTAATATCCCTTCAGTTCTTTTTCTCCCAACCCTAAACAATGTATAATTTTCCAGTTTAAGTTACGACGATAAAGGAGTGAAAAGGACGGTCTCTCCCAAGCTAGATAAGCTTAGTGCTACAGAAAAGGCTGTATGGTTCCTGCAGATCAAGTGGTCAGGGCAGCACTAAGTAGTGAAGGAGTCATCCAGAAAAAAAGGGGGGCTCAGAAAATCGGGCTGTATAAGCCCTCCACTCTTCCCCACAGCAGAATCTCCTCCAAGCAGCAGTGAGGGAAGTTCTCAGGTTATTCAGCTTCTGAGAGGGGGACCCATGCTTCAGTCACACGAAGAGTCTTTCTACTCGCAAGCTAAAAATCCGAAATTTCTCTTAACAATGTCAAGTAACTACAGTGATTTTTCAAGTGGTGCCAAACCGTGTCTAACTGATACAGGGTTCACACTGACAACGCTTAAACAAAGAAACTCTTCACTCCACTCATGGATTCATCATTTGCTGAGTCACAATGAACTTCCAGCCAAGAGCCGGTAGTTGGCAATCGAGATAGGACACCACATATATCTCAAAAAACGTGAACCACAAAAGGCAGTATTCAAAGATGTGTAAAGATCCAAGGGAGCCATACTCCCCAAAGTACCACAAAGCCAAATTACAGCAAAGTACACCCTGAGCTGGAGTGATCGGGGAGAGCTTCAGAGAAAGGGGTCTTCTGACATAGGATGTGAAGAACAGCTAGGATGTGGATAAATACCCTCTGATTGTAAAACAGCAAGAACAAAACCAAGCTCACTGCCATTGGGGAGTCAATGGGACGGCACACAGAGTAGAATCGCCCTTTGGGGCTTGGAGGATGTAAATCTTTTCGGGAGTCAGAAGCCTCATCTTTCGTGGATCTGCTAGTGAGTCAGCTGCTGCAGCCCATGAGGAACCCACTCCGTCACTAGGGCTTCTCTTTCCCGTAGTGAGCCTAAAAAAACTGCCTTTAGTCATACTGAACGGGAGAGCCATTACCTGATATTTAACTGTACAGCCACCGAGCCATCACTAGGGCACAATACGTTTAATTACCAACAGAGGCCATTTCGTAACAACGCCTGGGGCCAATGCCCTAAGGGGCCCATGTGTGACCAGCTCTTGGGCCGGGGGCATTAGGCCTGGGTCCCAGGTCTGGATATCCACGGAGCACCAGGCGTCCAGCTATCGCCTGCTCACCGACTCAAAGCAGCCGCAGAGCTGAAGGCAGCAAAGTTCGGCGGCGCCCGAAGCCCACCTCCTAGTGCATGCACCCCTTCGCCCGGCGGGTTCCAGGCAGCGACGCGCGATCCAGTCCGTCCAGTTCTGGCCGCCGCTCCAATTCCCCGCAGGAGGCAGGGCACGCGGCCGATGATCCCGCAGTCCCTTTCCGAGGCAGGGGGGCCGGGCCCCACAAGAAGCAGCCCCACCGACACGGCTGCCACGGACTTGACCCAGCGCCAGCACCCCCAGACCACGCCCCCGAACGAGGCAGCTTCCGGGACCTCTCGCGAGAGCGTGTCTGCCGGGACCTTCAGCCCCAGCAGCTGCCAGTCTCGCCCCGCCCCCGAAGTCCTGAGGCGGCTTCCTTTAGCGGGTGGGAGCCTAGGACGTGGCGGGGACCGGCCAGCTAGGGGGCTGGGCCTAGGTCGCTTTGTTCGGCCGCCCTGCGCCGCCGCAGTCCGCCTCTGGACGGCCCTTCACTGTCGCCGGCAGACCGGCATTCGCCCGAGCGTCATAAGAGTGGCGCGGCCGGCGGGAAGGGCGGGCGTAGTGGGGCGGTGGGCCCCGCCCACGCGGGGGCGTGGCCGGCGCGGTGCGCACGCGCGCTGCCCGCGTGGAAGGCGGTGGCTCCCGGGATGTTGCGCGGCCGGGTGGGCGGGCGCGGCGCGCTCGTTCCGGGTGGCGTAATTTCCCCGTTCGTCTGTGTCTCCTTGCCTCCGCCTCAGTTTGGGGCGGGCGGGGAGCATGGCTTCCGAGATGGAGTCATCGCTGGAGGCAAGCTTCTCGTCCAGCGACGTGCTGCCGGGGACTTCAGGGTTTTTGTCTCCGGCCCGTTCCCGTATCTTCAAGATTATCGTGATCGGTGACTCCAATGTGGGCAAGACGTGCCTGACCTTCCGCTTTTGCGCTGGCCGTTTCCCGGACCGCACCGAGGCCACTATCGGGGTGGATTTCCGAGAACGAGCGGTGGAGATAGATGGCGAGCGCATCAAGGTGAGCGGAGGGAGGCCTGTCAGGCAGGAAGCAAGCCCCGGGATGACAAGGGTCCCAAGCCTACCTTGGCCTCAATCGTTTTCCCTCGTGCTGATGTGGAGGCTGGAGTTGGGGGTCGTCAACATTTGGATATGGCAAACTTCTAAGACAGTATTCCTAAAAGTGTCTGCGATTTACCTAGGGACATTGTTTTTAAGAAATGCAGATTCCGATGTATCCAGCTTCTGGGGGTTGCAAATACAGTCGTAACCTGGGTGGAGGGGCTCTCCTCGAACTCAATGGCTGTCTTAACGTGTTTCCAGTCAGTGGAGTCAGACCGCAAGAAAAAGAATGCGATTTCTCGAACCTGGAAAATCCCTTTAATAACTTAGTTTAATTATTAAGAATTCTTTTGAGCACAGCCCTGTCTCCTGTGGATGTAAACCTCTTGCCTCTGAGGAGTGACCTAAGTTGCTGTTCTCTTGCATACAGTTTGAGAAAAGTCTGTTTCTCAGTGGAAACATCTCTATGTGACAGCTGTCAAGAGTACAATCTTTGGGTTCCACGTCATATTCTTCCCACAACTTTCCCTCCTTTGAAGTTTTTATTGGTGGCTTCTAAGACTGGGGACACCAAATCATAGTAGAGAAAGTAATAGGCCCAATGGCCAAAGTTGGAATGGTAAGGGCCTCATTGGACAATGAGAATCAAAGAGAGGGTTTCGATGGTGTAAACACACCTAATTGTTCCAAGCTACCACAAGCCCCTCAAACACTATCGAGTCCCATACTATGAAGCATATCAGACCCAGGGAATCCAGGACAGATGAACCCCTCAGGACCAGTTGTGAGAGTGGTGCTACCGGGAGGGTGGAGGGAGGGTGGGGTGGAAAGGGGGGAACGATTACAAGGATCTACATATAACACCCTCCCTGGGGGACGGACAACAGAAAAGTGGGTGAAGGGACATGTCGGATAGTGTAAGTCATGACAAAATAATAATTTATAAATTATCAAAGGTTCATGAGGGAGTGGTGGGGAAGGAGGTGGAAAATGAGCTGATACCAAGGGCTCAAGTAAAAAGCAAATGTTTTGAGAATGAGGGCAACACATGTACAAATGTGCTTGACACAATGGATGTATGTATGGATTGTGATAAGAGTTGTACGAGCCCCCAATAAAATGATTTAAAAAACCCCAAAACATATCAGCCTCAGGAATTGGCTGGCCTGCTTTATATTTTCCTTCCCTTTCACTCCCGGGTAGGGCATTCATCTTTATTAGGTGTGCTACTTCACTCCCACCTGCACCTTCTTTAGGCAAGAATGATTTAATTTTTAGCTCTGTAACCCCTATCACCCCCATCAAGAGGTTTTGTAGCTAATGGTGGCAAAGAAGAAATTACCAGTTGCTGTGCAGTGTTTGTGTGTCAAGAGTAGAGCCATGCACTGTTAGGCCGGATTGACTAGAGAAACAAATCTAGGGACACTCATATTTATATAAAAAAGAGTTTTATATCAAAGATCAATTGTATATTAAGAAAACATCCCAGTCCAGTCCAGATCAATTCCATAAGTCCAATATTAGCCCATACGTCCAATACTAGTCCATAGCTCCCTCATCAGTCTCACACAGCCACATGCAATGATGCAAAATGCAGGAAGATCACAGGTTGGTAGGTGTGATGTCTTGTGGATCCAATGGCTGTGGAAGCATCACAGGCTGCCATCAGCTTTGCTCGAAATGGCTCTTCCAACAGGAAGGTGAAGCAGAGAGTGCTCTTACAGGTCTCAGCAAGACACCGTATGGCTTTTCAACAGGAAGCTGAAGACACAGTGAGAGGAAGTTTCTAGAATCCTCATGAGATGACCATGCCCATCAGGCTGTGACCTGATAGGGTAGATTCCACCCCATTCACTCTTAATACGCTTAAGTTGACATGAGATGATGGAACTACCACAGTAGGGCTTTCAGTGGCCAATTTTTGGAAATAGATCACCAGGTCTTTAAGCAGCTGGTACAAATGTTAACCATTTGTACTACCCAGGGATCCCAAAGGAGAAATAAAACCAATCCTTCTATGTACCTTTCTTCAGGAAAAGTAGCCCAGACAAGTCAGTAACAATTCTTTGGGTGCACTGTATTAAGGAGTTAAGACATTTTTTTTTACGTTAAAGAGAAAGAAATAGAAGAGGCTGGAAATTTTTGCACTAGAATTAGGCTGGGCCAGAAAACCTGTGGAGGAGGGGGAAAAATGGGAGTTAGGAGGTTTAGAGGGAGCTTAGATTGACAGAAACAGGTGTTCTTAGTGAAACTGCAGTGGGACCTTATTGACCTGGGTTCAAATGTAAACCTATGGAAAGTATAGGCTTGGTGGGGTGGAGGGGCAGCAAGGAAGAGAGGACCCTGGACAAGATGGATCGGCTCAGTGACTGCAACAGTGAGCTCAATGGGCATCAAAATGTTCTCGAGGATGGTGCAGGACCAGGCAGTGTTTCATTCTGGTGTATATCGGGTTGCTTGCTATGTGTTGGAACCGCCTCCACCACACCTGACAACAACAATACACATCTTTAGTAGGGTGACCAACGTTGGGGTTGTTCCTCTTTTAAAACTGAAGTTCCACATCCCCCAATCCCCCTTATTCTCGTGAAAACCAAGACAGTTGGCCCCCCTACTGCTTAAGCAAGCCTCTTAATCTTTCAGTCTTTTTTTTCTTCTGAAAAATTGGGATAATGATACCTTCTCTGGCCAGTGTGGGGCTTAGATGTGAACGTATAGGAAACACCTGGCACAGAGCTGGTACGTTGGGACATTCTTTGCCCGCCTTAGTGGTTAGATCATCATGGCTCGTCCTCATTGGTACTATCAAGGGCCACCTGCGTGTCTGAAAAATTGAGCACTGATGGGCGGAGGGTATACACACACAGAGAAGGCGAAAGCATTCCCAATGAGCGGGACCAGGAAGTTCTGAAACAAAACAGCGTAAAATGACAGAGGTGAAAGGAGTTCAGGGTTTTCTGTTTCCCCTCTGCTTGTTCCCAAGCTGCCATATGTACACAAAGATGAGTCAGGTGCAAATTGGCTGGTATAAACTATTCATGTACCTGGGCTGGTAACCAAAAGGTTGGAAGTTCAAGTTCAAGTCCACCCCAGAAGAAAGGCCTGGTGATCTATTTCCAAAGCAGCAGACATTGAGAACTCTTGTAGAACAGAGTTCTGTATCACTGTGAGTCAGGATGGACTAAATGGAAATGTCTTCCTTTTGATTTTTGTAAAATAGAAGATGTATCCATTGTGCAGAGTTGAGCGCTTAACTACTGGTGTGAGTGCCAACAGGCAGTGATAGGTAAACCAGGGCCACAGGTGTGATGTGTGCGGTAGTACAGAATTCTTTGTCTGGTTGAGAGGAGTAAGGAGAAAACTTGGTTGTTTGGGGATTACTATCTGTTCCCCCCACCCTCCCCAAATGAAGCACATGTATGTCAGAATCGTTGTACTTAAATCTCATGATTTCTGTGTGTATGGACATGTTACGTTACAAAAGCATGTTGTCGTCGTCGTGCCACCTACTCACCCCCCCCCCCCACTCTAGCCTTATCTGTCGTTTTGATGAATGGCTAGATGGCAGCTGGATTTGGCTCTGTTGATTTGGACTTGGCCTCTGAGATTTTCTGTCTTCTTCCTGAAACCCTAATCATTAATTTGTGCCCCCATGCAAAAATGGCATCCCTGACCTCTGTTTTCCCTATTGCCACAGGCAGAGGTCAGACAGGCCTCCACCCTTCATCCTTCTCGAACTATCCTGACACCGACCACTTCTCCCCTGGTACTCCTATGCTGGTTCGGCCATCCACACAGAACCTGCAGACAACACAATGCTCACAATTCTGGGGGTTTATGAGGAGCACTTCCCTGGAGAAGGACATCCTGCTTGGTAAATGGAGGGACAGAGGAAAAGAGGAAGGCCCTTAATGAGCTGGGTTGACACAGTGGCTGCAACAGTGGCTCAGGTGTGGGAACAATGGGGAGGGTGGCACAGGACCCTACGGTGGTGTGTTCTGTGGTGTATAGGGTCACTGTCGGTCGGAACTGACTCAGTGGCACCTGACAACAACAGCAACAGTGTTAGGGAAGTTAACAGGTTACAAGTCAGGGTTAGGAAACAGTAAGGATACAGTTATTGGTCCATAGCAACACTTCTCAAACCAGCAGTCAGGTTTCTCGTAGGTCCTCAGCCTCTCAGGCGCACAGCTAGCTCCATGGCCTCTGCCCCTGTAGACCAGAAAGCCAACTGCTGCTTGTCTCATAGTCTTGGCGCTGCTTGTCTGTTCTGTCTCATAACCTCTGTGCCTCAGTTTCTGGTCTTGGCCTGGTTCCCGTGCTCCGGCCCATGGTCTCTGTGCTGAGCCGCTGGTGCCTCCACCACGTCAATTCGAGATCTGGAGCATGCTCCATTGGTGCTCTTCTCTGATTGCCCTGGGACTCCTGCATTCCGCTCCTGCATTTCCACTCTTCTAGGAGGTGTGTTTTTTGTCTTTCAGCAGACCAGGCGATGATTTGGTCCACACCCTCCAGTAGGGGGAAGGCCCAGCATCCCCGTAACCCTGCTCATTTGCACAGCAGAGAGCTCCCTCCAAAGTGGAATCAGCACCACGAGAACAGAGGCTAGACGAGAACAGAGGCTAGACGAGAACAGAGGCTAGACGAGGCTAGACGCTACAACACATCAAAGAGGGGATGATTGCCGAAGGGACATAACAATGGACTAGTTGCTCACAGCTCACTGCATCAACTTGATTCCAACTCACTGCGACCCTTTAGGACAGGGTAGAACTGCCCTGTGGTTTTCCGAGATGGCAACTCTTTACAGGAATAGAAAGCCTGGTACTTCTCTTGTGGAGTGTCTGAAGGTCTCACACTCCGCCGTACTACCCACTCTGCCACCAGGGTTCCTTACTTGACTATCTCACGCCAACTTGATGATTTGAAGCTTTGTGTGTATGTGTATGTGTATGTGTA